AAAAAATATCTAAACTAAGTGTTCAACCCATGACCCTTTTGATTGAATATTCAAAGTCATAACCACTACACCAACACACCAATTTCTTATTAAAAAATTCCATTAATTAAATTTAATCATTACCAATCCTCAAATAAATATTTTGAAAATCTCACCAACACTTAATGCATATATGCAATTCTTATACAGATTCAGTGTATTTCGAGCATATTGCGTACCCAATACAGATTTAATGCATTTTTTAGTGATTCTGATACAACTTAAATGCACCGCCTGCACGAATATGTATTCGATAAATACTTAATGTGCTTATGCAATTTTGACACATCTTAAGCAGATTCCATTACCGATTGCGTATCCAATGCTAAACACATTTATACAATTCTGATACAGCTCAAACGTACACCTCGCATATGAGGCTTATTAAACACACTTTTACGTAGCTGGAGCACCCCTCCCTCCTCGGATCTAGTCAATCCCAATATATAGATGGTAAAGCCCATAAACGTCTACCTCGATCCAAGCCAAGCCTCAGGGCATGGACGAGGATCCTACCCTTAGCCTGGGAACAATCCTCTATGACATGGAGCACATTATAAAGTACGAATGCATGACCTCGACTTCACCGATCCCAGGCCTCGTCTCAAAGAATGCAAACAACTTGTTAAACACAACATTCAAATTATTACATTACTACAAGAAGCGCTAAACACATCGAGTAAGCTTAGTAGTCCAAAAATGCTAGCTAACGTTATTCAATGCACCAAGTTGCAAAATATAAGAAAATTCCAAAGACATATATGTCACTTTATTACAAGAAAATATGTTGTTTCTTCCATAAAACAAATAGTAGAGGCTCTCACGCCAAAAATAGACATTCTTCCATAGATGATGAATGGCAACGGTCTAACTTAAATTCCAAAAGTAAAGAAAAACTTAATAGAGTAAAAGAACAAGCTCGAAGTTATAACAATTCAGAGACAACGAAAATGTTAAAGCAAAAACTAGCGCAAAGATCTAAGGAATACAATACTTTAAGCATCAAGGTAAAATATTTGATTAAATGTCAAAAATCATTACACCCAAAGAACGAAAGCATGGGAAACAATTCAGGGAATAAATAATACAAAGTAAAAAGAAAATTAAGCCGAAGCATTCGAAGATGAGGCACCGGGACCACCTCCATGATTCACCCTGGGAGCAGACTTAAAAGGATCTAGCGCCTCAGTAGAAATTACAACACCAAAGTAGAAATTTCCTGCCTACTCCATAACTTGCTCACGGATTCCAAGAATATCCCCCATTGTATGATGAAGAGAATTATGGAGCGTCCACCTCTAACTGGCCTCCTTGTCTTTGAGAGTTTTCAAAGCCTTTTCATAGGCCTCAGTATCTTGAAGAAAGGCTTCCCGATGCTCTTCCGCCAGGAAAGTCTTCTCCTCAACAAAATTAGAAGAAGCCTTGTACCTCTTTTCTGCATCTTGAAGATAACCTTCACCTCAGTCACACGAGTAGCCAGAACCAAAGAAGAGCTAAGTATTTTCATCTCCTTTTGCAAAGAGTTGACAGCTTTTACTTCCTCCCGCAGCGAAATAAGCTCCTTATAGAGATTAGTGCACTTTGGCTCCATAACTTCAGTCTTCCCTTTCCAAGTATCCATTTATTGATAAGGATTTCCCAGGGCCAAAACATCACCCCGTCCAGCAGGGACGAGAGAAAACATAGAATGATATAAGAAAGCTCATATGTCATTTCCATCTTATCCCCCTTAGTGAGATTTTGGACAAAGGATAAATCCAACATTGAGACAATAGAAGCAACATTCTCAAGAGTGCATGGAATATGGGAAAAGAAAATATCTAGTGTTTGTAATAACCGGCAAAAAATATAGATTCTCCACCATTAATTTTTATCCTAAGGATGGGAAAATAACGGATAACCCTAAATTATACAGAGATTCTAAATTCTTGACTCACTTTAGACGAAGGGAATGTGTTAGGCACCCTTCATCTACCTCGTTCACAAGGATACTAGGGTTTATGTTAAAGGTTATGAATACGGTTTTAATTTTAATTAGGGGAACTCGCCACGATTTTAAGTCGTATGCCTATGTATCCTCTTATGAGGAATCAGAGTCTCATTTCGTAGTTCGCAGTCATTTGGTTAGTTTTTTTATGGACTATGGTAATATCTCGAATTTTCCTTGAACCAAGTCTGAGTGTGTGAATAGCGGAATTGTAGACGTAGTTCGCAGTCGATAAAAGAAGTTTCCATAATTCTTTTTTGAAAATAAATAAATTTGAATTATGTTAGTAGAAAAGGTTAGTATTTGATTGGTTAGATGTTTTCGAGTATATGATGCAATTTTGAATGAAAAATACTTAATGCAAATATATAAAAAGAGTTAGTATTTTAAAAAGATATTTTAATTAGTAAATAGATATTTTATAAGTTATTAAAATATGTTAAATATTCGGCAAAATACTCATTTTGGTCCCTTAACTATACTCTTGGGTTCACACTGGTTCCTTAACTTTTTTTCGTGTCATTTTGGTCCCTTAACTTTTAAAAAGTTTCATTTTAGTCTTTTTTGTCTAATTAGCGACAGATTTAGCGACGAATTTCAAAGTTTTTTCGTTGCTAATTAGACAAAAAGGACTAAAATGAAACTTTTTGAAAGTTAAGAGACCAAAATGACACGAAAAAAGTTAAGAGACAAATGTGAAACTCAAGGGTATAATTAAGGGATCAAAATGAGTATTTTGCCTAAATATTCTTAGAAAAATAAATATTACAATTATTTACTAATTATGCAAAATTATAGGTTAATGTGACAAATTATAAAATGATAAAAAATAAATAAATAACTAAATTATAAAAAATAATTTTATTTTATTTTTTAAAAAACGCAGGGGGTGTGAATCATTTAGGCTTAGTAATTATGGGGGTGTGAATATCAGGGCCCTAAATCCAGATATTGGATTCAGATCCAATTGCACAAGGGGTGGATTTTATTGATTGGGAAGTAATATAGGGGCGTAGATAGTATGAGCTTAAGCCCAATAGTCTGCTTTTGATCCAAACGTGGGGGTGTAGTTGGTCATTTGAAAAGAAGAAGGGTGGGGTGCGATTAGTAAGGGTCTTGGCCCATAACACATTGGTGAGGTATGCTTGGATCCGGTATGCGCGAGTGTAAGGCCTTACGATGGGGAGGCGTCTCTGTGATCATTTTATTTTGATTGAATATCATGATGGAAGGTACACGGTAGCGGTGCATGGGATCACGTGGCCAGATGTTGGCCACGTGTCCCAATGAATCGAAGTAGAAGGAGTATATTTTCCTTTTCTTATATTTTCTCCTTAATTTTACACATCCTCTCTCTCTCTCTCTCTCTCTCTCTCTCTCTCTCTCTCTCTCTCTCTCTCTCTCTCTCTCTCTCTCTCTCTCTCTCTCTCTCTCCACTTGTTCTTCTTTCTCTCTTTCATTTTGCAGAACAACCACTAAACCCTAAAAAAAATCTGGCAGCAGCGGCCGCTTAACCCTCAACCCCAACCCTCTCAAAACAAACACAAGACAACATCAACCACAAAGATATCGAAAGTTAACACCAACCTTTATCCGTCGTGATTCTTTGAGTTTTTGGTTTCTCTGATCGCTAATATTCCCCCCTTTCCTTCTTGCTTCACATGTGGAGATGAACGAAGACAATGATGATGGTGGTGACAACGGCGGGTGTGAAAATCTTGAGGTAACACCGGCGTCGGCACCACATATCTAGGGTTTCAGAAATTAAAACCCAGATCTCTCTTCTTCTACTCCTTCTCTTTGTTGTTCCGATCTGTAACAATTTTTCTCTCCCTCTTCTGAATTCTTAGGGCTCTTTTATAGTTTTTAGATTAGAATATATTAGGAAATTTTTATTTGATTTCCTTTAGAAATTAGAGATTAGAGTTGATTGAAGATTGAATTAGAATTAGCGTTGAAATTAGATTGTAATTGATTTTGCATTTGTATAAGATTTGGACTGATTTTGTGTTGTAATTGGATTGTGATTCGTTTTAATATATTCATTCTTGATTTAGATCTGGTTCTGTTATTGATATGATTTTTTGAATAGTGCTTTGCATTTTTCTGGGCTTGGGCATTGTTGGGATGAAGAAGAACAAGGGTAGCAGCGGCGCCGTTGGCATGCGAAATTAGGGTTTTTCTTTGCCCCTTTTGACTTCAGTCAACGATTCAGAAAAAAGAATAATAATATAAACAAAATACTAATAATAATAATAATAATAATAATAATAATAATAATAGATATAATAAATATAAATAATTAAATATTTGTAATAAAAATTTAAATGAATGTTGACTTTAGTCAACAAAAACCTGTCATGATGGGCTTCAAAAATAAACTGATATGGGCCTGCTATTTTTTATGGGCCGTTGTTAAAAAAAAATGGGCCTCATGAAGAGAAAAACGTACCTCCCCCTCTATGCTATTATAAACGGGCCTAAAATATATATATATATATATATATATATATATATATATATATATATATATATATATATATATATATATATATATATATATATATATATATATATATATATATATATATATATATATATATATATATATATATATATATATATATATATATATATATATATATATATATATATATATATATATATATATATATATAAAGAATAACAACCCTACTGGGCAATCAGACTTAGATGGCCCACTTGAAACATCACACCCCCTTATAATAATGCACCTCCATTTTCAACTCATGAAATGGGCTTTATAATAACTTAATGGGCCATCAGATTTTGATGGTCTATTTTGGAACAATATACCTTCCCTCATGAAATGATATTCAAAATAAACAATTCGAACAAACATGGTTAAGGATCTGAAAAAATAATAACATAATATGATTATCTGATGAGGCAAATTTAGGGTATGATAATGTCTTTATAAAGGGAGCCCCCTCCCCTAAAGCACCATCCTCAGCGACCTGAGTCCATTTTGGATAAAACTCAATCCGAGGACTATTGTTCCTCCTTTTGGGCCATATTCGTCAAAACCAGAGCCTTGGTTCCTCACTGTCAAATTAGCCACAACATCCACAAGAAGATCCACCTCACGCATATAAGTAGAAGCTTCTACAACTAGGGTAGGGGAAGTTGAAGTCCTAATACTCAGCTTGTAGATGCTTAAGGTATTTGGATTACGGTGAATATTGGAACTTCTACTTCTGCCCCACTCATCTAAAGCTGAAGTTGAAGTCCTAGTATTCACCGCATCCCAAATACCTTGAGCATCTGCAAGGTTGTAAAACATGTTCAACTTGCTTATCTTATTCATGTTATATACAGAACGCAATCACGCCTATAAAAAGAGATGAAAATTACGCTCTCAATAAAGATCTCCCTCCCCTCCTCAAGATTAACTATACTGAAGATAACATGAATATCAATTCACCTTTTCCTTAAATCAAAAGAAAGCACCTAGCTAGGGCCAAACCCGTCTTAATAGCCAAGCCCTTGAAACCAGAATCGCAGTTCCTCCTTCATCGTCACCTCGTCCGAAGAAAAAGAAGCCGACTTGGTACAATAGGAGCGAGCAGACAAGTTAAAATCGAGCTTAGACCATGATGACACTCTGTCATTACGTCATATTTGAGAGCATTTTGAACAGAATCAGTGGACTTATGAAGAAAAGTCAACCAAATGTGAAGAAGAATTGAGCAAAAATGCAAAAGTGGTAGAAAGTTGAGACTTAGAAAAATTCAGAAGAAAAAATAGCATTTTTGCTCTTGGAATTCTCACGAACGCGGTGGTTTCATCGTGGACGTGATGATAAAGTATTACGATCGTGATACTGAAAAACATGGTCGCGATGTTTAATTAAATTGTTTATATAAATTAAGAAGTGTAATTAATTTTGTATAAAAATTTTGTTTAATCATTTAAAAAAAATTATTATTCATTAATATGAAAGAAAAATTAATACAATCGAATTAAAAGGGAGTCATAAATAATAAATGATAGAAAAAAATCAGTATAAAAAATATTATAAAATAATTTTTAATTTCAACTTTTTTGATACAGTCTTAAAACTATCAATTAAGTCTCTAAATTATCACCATTTCCTCGATTTAATTTCTAAACTATTAAAATTAGCTAAAAGTTTCCTAAAATGTTCTCTTATTCAATTATTTAGTCCTTAAGAAATTTAACAATAGACTAAATAGTTAGATGAAAGAATAATTTATGTACATTTTAATTAAAATTTTAATAGTTAAAAGACTAAATTTATAAGAGAGTAATAGTTTATGAATTAAGTTGAGTGTTTATGAACCTATCTTGCAAAGTAGGAGCCAACAAGATCCTTTGTATCAAAGCGTTCTTACCTGCGGCTGAAAAATAAAAGCAATTTTCAATGGTTAGCTGTTAGACTAGGACAAGTAGATATCGTGGGTCAGGTTTGAATAAAGCTTGAATACTAACTAGAAGATTCATTATAAGTAGGACCTAAACTAAGCTGTATTTTATTGGGCATTCATGACTCCTAATCCATGGTTTCAACAAAAGTTGCAAGAGACAGCTTTTTTGTTTGATTGTTGATTTAATTGGCAGACCTGTTTTGGCACTGTTAGTTAAAATTAATTAACATGTTCCAAATAAAATTGTCATTGCCATCTTTACAAAAACTCTCCACTAATCTAATTATAATGAATAGACTATAGAGCGAACAATAAAAGTTGCTTGAATAGTTGCAATTGGAATTTTTTACTTGCCACCATATGTGTACCTTACACCTTTAGTATGTGTTAAAGAGATAACGGTATCACTCTATTGATAAGTAATTTTCGACTAAGGAATGAAATATTTAAATTGTAAGATATCTTTGGTTAAAATAGCATACGTCCATTATAAAGAAAAATAGGATGCGTCAACAAGTTAAAGAAGTATCAATTAGGAATCTGGTCGACGAAGATACCAGTTTTGGAGGCAGACTCGACAGGATATAAGTGTTGACAGACAACAATAAGTAGCAGCGAGAGCAATTACCAATTCACAAAGTCAGTAATACGTGGGGATGTTTCAAAGCAGTTTATGACAGTTTTCCATGAATCCCAACGTGGGACTAGTAACCGTCGACGGTTACACTTTTAGACTTTCTATTTAAGCAAACATTTGTATTTTTGTTAGGGGTCACATTTCTTCATATTTAGAGCATTACACTCAAAGTACCCGCATCTAAGAGAGAAACGAGTCCAGTCTTAACAATATATGAATGCTTTCACATTTAAATTCAAAGTAATTTCCAGTTTTCACTTTAAATTACAAGTCTTGTCATTTATTTTCTTCACTTTGCAATTGTCTTTTACTTTTTTCTTTTTATCCAATATCAATCAGTTTCAACCCAAAACACTCAAAACACTAAGTCTAGGATTATTGTAGCCGATCCTGCAAGTAACTTTTAATAAGAGGCTAGAGATTGTTCGAGAGAAACAAATTGGCACACCTGATATGACACATTGTGTTTGAGTCTTTCTCATTTCGTGCATGAAATTGAGAAGTGGTAGAAAAATGGTAGATCTTAGAACTCCTAAGAGGGATCGAACCTTGGGAGGAAATACCAGTGCGGCGACAAGTGTTGGTTCAAGTTTTGTGGTCGTGTCTTCTACTGCACCGAACATAGTTACCACAACATAACCAGTAACTGCAAGACCACCAATGGTCAAAATGTCTGGGCAGTATGTGCCTAGTTTTACAAGAGAGAGACACAATGGTGTGATCCCGACTTTTGGGTAGTATGTGCCTAGTTTCGCAACATATACGCGTAATGTTGAACATGAATACGAAATGCTAACAACGATGATGGCAGACCTGCATAGCAATTGTTCGACATTTGGTGAAAATTTTCATTGGCGTTTTCCCCTTATCATGCCTCAGGGCTGTTGGAAAATCAATTTGGTCGTTCGAGTGGATTGGGATTTTCCCACCAAATCATGCCTAATTTCACCCTAAGTACCGTTGCTATCATGAGGCAGCAGATGGATGAAAGTAATCATGAGATGGTCAATATGCTTACTCAACATATGAGTCTCATATTAAGACCTTTGGTCGAGAATTCGATGCAGATTTATCAGACTTTAGCAACTCAAATGACTCACGTTGGGGTTTTTCGTGGGTTCCCCAAGAGCGCCAGTTCGATAAGCTGCGCCTCCCCCACGTAAGGAACCAGTGCAGTACGAGGAGGTGGTCGATGAAACAGTCAGTCAAGAACCACTGATTCCCCAGCGTGTCGATCCTATACTTAAGGTGCTTCAGTACCCCCAGTAGTAATAGTAAATTGAAACTTGAACATGTTAGACGAGAAGCAGTGGTTGGGGAATAAAACCTAGAAGTCATTGTCTAATGGATTATGCTTAGGAATGGAATGAATATTGGTTGTCAGAGGACTACATATGTCTCGCCATTTCCAGATTTCATTTTAAAAATGGAGTTACAAAGAGGTTGGAAACTCCCAAAATTCACCAAGTTCGCAGAGGATGTCGAAGAATCTACTGTCGAACATGTTGTTAGGTACCAAATAGAACTTGGAGACTTAGTAGTGAATTGAGATTTGAGGATGAAGTATTTTCCCAATGCTCTCACAAAGAATGCATTTACTTGGTTTATAACGCTTCCACCACAGTCAATTCAAACATGAATTCAGTTGGAGAAATTGTTCCATGAACAATCTCACATGGTGTGATCGGTGGATCTGGAACTGACTGTTTAACGCTGGTTCGCGAAATGTCGCGGAAGCCAGAGTCGCCACCGTCTTTTATTTTCTTCAAATGGAAAGGACAAAAGCACAGAAAAATTCCTTAAAGAGATTGCTCTCGGTTCGGGAGGTAGATTATAGAAAGGGAAGGTGTTAGCACCCTTTCTATCCATGGTTATCCATGGGCTCTTAGATACTTGCTCATTTGTGTTTTCAAAAATGTTTGTTTGCTTTTCAATGTGGGTTTTAAAAAGTTTCTTTGAAAATTCCAGTTCGACTCTTGTATCGGTCCTCAAGAGTGTTTAAAAAATTGCTTTCGAAAGCTTTTTGAAAAGGTGTTGGTGAAAAGATTTTGATTTGTTTGAAATTAGAGCAAGTATCCTTGAGAACCTACCTACCCTAAGGAATTCGTCTGTGTAGATGTCCTTTAAAGTAGTGCCATCCCACCATTGAGAGGTAGGTAGCACCACCATTGGAGGTGTTCGGGTCAATTCGTTTTTAGGGACATGGTGATCACCAGAGCAATGGGAAGACACCTTAGAAGCTACCCTCATGCCAGGTTCCCGGATCATGAGGACTTACTAAGACGTCCTCTACTCGACGATCACCTTTCGAAAGGCAACAGTGAGGCGTACCCTAGGGGTGGTGTGTGCGATTCGTGTGTCGTTTTCATTTGTATTTGTCTTGTCATGTTTACTGGTGTTCTACGCGTTTGTTTTTATTTTATCATTCATTCTTGCATGCATATTTAACAGTTAATAAGTTGCGGGAAAATAAATCTACAACTATTACAAATGGCGCGGGTCCACATCGCCAAAATTTCCAGAACCCGATTTGACGGAAAATAAATAAAGCGAATAAAAATGCGAAAAGATTAAAGTTACAAGGCTTCGGGACATGTACATAATTATAATAAGTGACAAAGTAAAATGCGCGAAATTAATAATTAAAAGTATGGGCGTTGGACCCTTTCACAAACAATTAAAATTAATAGGAAATTAAAATCAAAAATTAAATGTTTTTTGGTATTTTGTGTTTTTTAGATTTAAAAGAAAAAGGAAAGAATTAATTATAAGTGACTAACCCTAATTCTATTATTTTTTAAGTTTATTGTGAAAAAGATTACACTAACCTAAATTAAACCCTAATTTTTATTTATGTACATTTAATTATAAAAATAAATAAAATAATATTATGATAAAAAAGAAATAAAAATAAAGGTATAAAAATTATCAATTAACCTAATTCTAATTTTTTGGATTTTTATTATGAAAAAGAATCAAAATTGCAAAACATCCTAATTAAAACTAAATTCAATACGTATTAATTTATTTACAAGAAAATAATTATAATAAAATAAATACTATTTTTTGGTCTTTTCTGAATTTTTGTGATATTTTTATATTTTGTAGAAAAATAATCAATTAATTAAAACAAATAAAAATAGATAATATAATAATTAAAAAGAATAAAATATGAAAAGAAAAGCAAACCAGGGGGGGGGGGGGGGGTAGCCCCAAAATTGGAGGTAAGGCCTTAGCACTTCAGGCCCAATAATATTC